CTCTTTGTTTGAAGTTGACATAAACTTCGTCATGACGGAGAAAAACTTTATCTCCGCATAGAGTAGGAAGAACGTCGCTTGCTGACCATGAATACAGTTGCTCACTACTATATCAACCGTCTTTTTCTGTGTTCCCGTCATTTCAGAATCTATCAGACGTGTGCTGGGCAAGAAAGCATCAGGATTGTCTTCAAATCAAACGATAAATTAAGACCTAACTTGGCGAACAGTAGGAACCAAGTAGCTAGGGACGAAAAGATCGATTGCTCCATAAATTGCACGGGATGCCAGCTGTCCCGTGTCTGTCAAACCGCCAGACCACTGCAAGCATGGATGGTAGAACACAAGAGAGCGGCTACCATCTCAAACCCAACTACCGAAGAAAAGTGACGTTTTGAAAAGGCTCGACAGCGGATTTTTCATCACTAAATTTACGTCGGACGCAGCATGGATTTTAATTGGCCGAACCATAATAATAGCAGTTGACAATTGCATAGAACACCTAGTTGCCTAAGTGCCCTTGATCCGAACAAGGCCCCCAACATCATGAACAGAGATGAATGAGTTTATGTCTCTTCGTTATGGCGAAACTTCTGTTAATTTCAAAGAACATAAGATAAGTCATAAGATAACATCATGTCTCTGTATATAATACTGTCTGCAGTTGAGGAAGGCTGTTAGAATCAGCCAAAATTTTGGTTCTTTGGTACAAAACATTTTCGCTGCGTGTAATTTGAATAATATGCTCACACATCGATCCATAAGCATGCATGTCGATAAACAATATCCTTGATATCCTAAGTTTACTGACAAAAAAAATTTTTAGTGTTTGCCGAACAGAAAACGTAAAATTCGCTTGACGTGATCGCGCCGTCCCATTGCTTCCAGTGACCTAAAAGGGCCTTTTAATAAGCAGTCCGCGGTTCAAGACCCAAAAAGCGACTCGCGTATGTAATTCTAATCAGTTGTATCAGAAAGTAGCTACTGTTAATAAATCCAAACTGATTAACACTCTTATGCTTATCGTCATATGGTAAATGCAAATTAGTTGAGAAAATATACTGTTTTATCGCCGATCAATGACATTCGCTTTTTAATAAGAAACGATTTTTTGAACTAATGTAATCGTTTAGGTGAAAGCTGTTCTGCGAAATCTAATCCAACATCACATGATCTCCTACCGCAGCGACGATGCGAACAAGCTCGAATACACTTGTATCGTGGATAGAATTCTACAGTTGGCTTATTATCCGCATTACTTGAATATCGTCGAACTTGCTTATGGAGATATTGGGCAACGCATTGTGAGGAAAATTCTCCACCACGGCATGATCAGTCTTTCTCAGTGCATCGACAGAATCTTGAAGAACCAGCTCGAAGACGAAGGTATCTGAGCGAGCGAACATATTTCCGAGCTAACCTTCTGACGACATTTACGTATTCCGATCGACTGTGGCAGATATGATGGAGCTTCCTAATTGATCAATAGTTATTTATTATCCATCGGTTGATTGTTGCTTATCTGGCTCAGCAAATCTGGGCAGGGCTTAGAGCAGTATCATCAAGAAAAGAAGGTCTCTTACCAGCGAAATGCTATACCGGTATACATAAATTTTCAAGATGGATGCCATTTGTAGCAGCCTGCTAATGAGGAGTTTATATTTTGATGTCAGAGGGTCTTGTTTATAAAGTCAGCATCTCCAACTATATGGCGAGCTCTGCTTGTACTCTTTACGCCTCTTTCCATGAAGTACTCTTTTATCTATCTCAAACCCAGCCCAAATTAAAATTCATGATCTTTCGATTGAGTCTGGCACTATATCGACTGATTTGCGATGGCTATATGCCGCTGGTTCTCTCGGTTCAGCTCATAGTTGGTAACTGGCAGACGTTAGATCTGAATCTCAGTTGCACGGTAAAGAAGCAATAAACTGCACCTTGTGTTTGTCACTTACCGGCTGATGCTACTATTAAAAGGTTAGGCAGTTTGGCCATTGGCGTCGCAAGAGATATCAGAGCCATAACCTGGACTCTATGAAAAAGGCTGTTTGAAAGCAGCTGCAAAGAAAAATGGTGCTCTGAAATTACAAGGAACTCAATGTTCCAGTAGGTACAAAATTTCCTTTCCCCCTGAGCAGTTATTCCCGTCTTATAGACACATAAGTAAATATTGTGAGCACATATATCAGGAACAAATTAGTGAGCTTAATTCTGTCAGAACGCCGGTTTACGCGACGTTGTGGCACCGCTCCCTTTTTCTTAGATGACTGGGGGGGGCGATTTAAGTAAATATTCGTTCCATGATAGTTCGTATTATTTAGAACGACAACCGACGTGTTACACCGACTTATGTGCCTCTTCTCTGAATTTAGAAATAAGACCTGCGATGCTCTGGACACACTGTCAGTGTACTTGAGGAGAGATCGGCGAGACGCTCCAAGCAGTTACCTTGCATAGTCACGCGACTAAAGGCCAAAAGAGAGACCTAGGGTCAGATGGCTTTTAGTCCAATCAGTTTTATTTGTCTGATCGTCCGAGGAAAATCTATTTTGAAGCTGTTTTTTCAGCAAACCAGTCGGAATATTATGGCTATGAAAGTGAATGACTGAATAACCGTTTTGCATTAATTGCAGACTGCGACGTTGATGCTGATCGAGTATGTAGTATGCTGATCGTTGGTAGTCATACAGATGTGCACGTATAAACATATTGGACCATTTTTTGCTGCTTAGTCTATTTAACGAATCTCTGTGGAGTAATTTTCTTACGCTAAACTAAGATTTCCACTAATAAGGGTCACTTATGTTAAATTACAGTAAGATGTTGCCTATTGTAAGATTTGCGGTGTTATTTCTGTGCAAGGTAGGTTTAAGTGCATCATGCACTGCCTATACAGGACATTGACTGTCGTTGCTCAGTAGGTAGAGCGTTCGACTCATAACTCAGAGGTCAGGGGTTCGAGTTCCGGTCCGGTCACTTCCTTCTGAGGTGGTTAATAATTGAGCACCGCTCAATGGGGAAAAACAGGAGACAACATGCTACGCTTGTCACATGGGTATGGATTGTGCCTTTAAAAAGAACACTCATGGCTGATGGCAGCGGAGACCGGCGTCCTATTACATGAACTTTGTACAGGGAAGGGCGTCACAAATTACCCCAGATTATAATGATGTAAGGGAGACCGACGTCCCGGCGGTTACAAACTGCTTATTTCCTTCCTTTGGTCGGAACCTTATAAAATACTAATTAAATAGGTTTTCTCTCTATGCGGAACGTTAAATCGAATCGCTATTTTACTGTAATAATGCTTACTTAATTAGGTAAAGCGTTTTGTGTTTTTACTTATTTGCTATATATCCAAATCAGTGGTGCATGTCTTTTTTAGAACAGCAGGAAAATATCATTGGTCCGGACGACATCGCAGCAAAGTTTACGGAGTTAGTAAACGCTCACTATGTTTGTCGATGTGACAACGTCCGCGCCTTTGAAGGCGGCTCCGAAAACACAGTGCCAAAGTTTAGCCCTTTCAGTGATCCGTTTCTAGTACCAGAAGCTTCCGATAGAAATGGTATTACCAAAGCTTTGTGCGAATCGATTTTTTCATTTATATTAATTAGGTTTTACTGGGAACGTTAGTCCATCACGTAAACGAACCATCATTTCATCCGCTACCGGTACGGTATCCAAAGGTGATTCGGGCGTTATGTGGCGTATCAACTTTGATAAGTTCAGCCGACAGTTACGAAATTCGTTCATCTTAAAGATGGTTAAAAGCTATTACTGCCAGGTGAGATATGGTTTTGCGAAGTGTATTGAATACGTCGCTGAATAAGTCGACATTTAAGAAGTGAACGACTATTGATGACGTTTCGCTTAATCCCACCTCATTGGGCACGTCACGGAGACTAGGTAGTCAACCAAGCGAGGAATGGCATGGCTAAGCGAGTCAACGGTGGATAGTAATTGCCATAGCTGTGAACACCTGCCCTGTTATGAATTCCAGAGTGATCGGATAG